AACCCCAACAATCCATGGAAAACCCCAGCAATCCATGGAAAACCCCAACAATCCATGGAAAACACCAGCAATCCATGGAAAACCCCAACAATCCATGGAAAACCCCAGCAATCCATGGAAAACCCCAGCAATCCATGGAAAACCCCAGCAATCCATGGAAAACCCCAACAATCCATGGAAAACCCTAAAATCCCATGGAAAACCCCAACAATCCATGGAAAACCCCAAAAACCCATGGAAAACCCCAACAATCCATGGAAAACCCCAGCAATCCATGGAAAACCCCAACAATTTCAGTGGCAATTTCTTTAGTACAAATTTCAGCCACAGAAACTTCATTAGGAATTTCTTTAGTACAATTTTCAGTAGGATTCTTTGGTACAAATTCCAGTAGGAATTTCTTTAGTACAAATTCCAGTAGGAATTTCTTTAGTACAAATTCCAGTAGGAATTTCTTCAGTACAAATTTCAGCAGAAACTTCAGTAGTAATTCATTTAGTCCAAATTCCAGTAGGAATTTCTTTAGTACAAACTTCAGTATGAATTTCTTTAGTACAAATTCTCATAGGAACTTCAATAGGGATTTCTTTAGTACGAATTCCAGTAGGAATTTCTTTAGTACAAATTTCAGTGGTAGTTTCTTCAGTACAAATTCCAGTAGGAATTTCTTTAGTACAAATTCTCATAGGAACTTCAGTAGCAATTCCTTTAGTACAAATTCCAGTGGTAGTTTCTTCAGTACAGATTCCAGTCGGAATTCCTTTAGTACAAACTTCAGTAGGAATTCTTTTAGTACAAATTCTCACAGGATCTTCTGTAGGAATTCCTTTAGTACAGATTCCAGTAGGAATTTCTGTAGTACAAATTCTCACAGGATCTTCAGTAGGAGTTCCTTCAGTACAGATTCCAGTAGGAATTCCTTTAGTACAAATTCTGATAGGATCTTCAGTAGGAATTTCTTTAGTACAGATTCCAGTTGGAATTCCTTTAGTACAAATTCTCACAGGATCTTCAGTAGGAGTTCCTTCAGTACAGATTCCAGTCGGAATTCCTTTAGTACAAATTCTCATAGGATCTTCAGTAGGAATTCCTTTAGTACAAATTCTCACAGGATCTTCAGTAGGAGTTCCTTCAGTACAGATTCCAGTCGGAATTCCTTTAGTACAAACTTCAGTAGGAGTTCCTTCAGTACAGATTCCAGTCGGAATTCCTTCAGTACAGATTCCAGTGGTAGTTCCTTCAGCACAGATTCCAGTCGCAATTCCTTCAGTACCGATTCCAGCAGCCATCCCTTTAGTTCAAACCTCACTAGAACCTCCACTCGGAATCTGTCCCCGCTGTGCCACGCCGCCCCTGACCCGTCCCCATCCCCATCCCCGCAGAACCTGAACCAGAACCCGCGCACGCTGCTGCCCAAGTTCTACGGGCTGTACTGCGTGCAGGCGGGCGGGCGCAACATCCGCATCGCCGTCATGAACAACCTGCTGCCGCGCTCCGTGCGCATGCACCTCAAGTACGACCTCAAGGGCTCCACCTGCAAGCGCCGCGCCTCGGCCCGCGAGCGCGACAAGCCCTGCCCCACCTTCAAGGACCTGGACTTCCTGCAGGACCTGCCCGACGGGCTCTTCCTGGACGCCGACATGCACAGCGCCCTGTGCAAGACGCTGCAGCGCGACTGCCTGGTCCGCGGCGGGCTCGGGCGCGCGCCGGGGGGAGTCGGGGGGTTTGTTATTGGGTTTTGGGGGGAA